TTGTGTCCATTGTTCATCAGCTCAGATATATACTCTAGTGTACCTGTGACACCCAGTATTAATTAATTATGCAGAAATCACGTCTCAACTTCTTGAAAAGTTATAAGCTGATCATAACTTTTCTGGATTTTCTAAGCTGGTTTTGAAATTCTTCTGCTCACAGCTTACTTCTTTATATAGACATATATATTTCTGCTGCAGGGGGTAAAGGGATGAATTATGGGGGAAATGGGGGTGTGGGCCCCCCCCTCAAGATGCAGCACTTTTTCTTAACATGCATGGGATCAATTAATTAATTAATTTAACTTTTGTTGTATAGTATGAAAAGAAAAGAAAGGAAAGTTTTTTAAAGTGTCAAAATATTGAAAAATTATGGTTATATTTATGAGTTTTTTTTTTGGCATTTTAAAATGCTTGAGTTGAATTTCTTCATAATAAAGAATTGAATAATAGTAATTAATATTGTTCGAAAAGTATGTTGCCGCGACAATTATTGTCAGATTAAACTCTGTGTTAAAGTGAAGTCCCTTCGAAATAGAATTCGTTGGTATACCAACTAATTTTTTTTTGTAATTGTACGTAATAAAGTTTATAAGTTCTTGTATTTTATCGACATATACAAGCCAAATATGTTAAATACTTCTTTGCACTTATCTTGAATAATGTATATCTAACAAGTTCGGGTTTTTGGTGTTTCAGGTTTCGGATTTTCAGATTTCGAGTTTCGGATTTCGGGTTTCAGTTTTAGTTTCAATTTCAGTTTCAGTTTCGATTTCTCCAAACTAGTTTAGTCACGGTCGAAATTGAGTCGTGTAATCTAGACCCTCAAAAATGAAATATAGATATTTAATTTGGTAAATACAATACAAAATTTGACCATTGAAAATGTGGAATACAATTTCAAGATTTAGCACCGAATAGAATTAAATATTAATAAGAAGGTGAGTTTGTTGAAAATAATGGTACAACAATACCGCTGCACCATAAATAAATAAAAAGAATACAACCACCAATAATTGAGAGAGTAGCACCCACGTCTAGGAGACAGACACGTGGCGAGATCTCAAGCGTAGTGTCGAATCCAACGGTGGGGATTAAAATGAGATGGGAAATTATATAAAGTTGGGTTACTGAAAATAAATGAGTTGGTACAAAGCGCGTGTTTGGTTCCTTTGCGAGTTGTTATGGGGATGTTTGGTTATGTTTCCAAA